TAAGTAGACATGTACATTACATCGTCTAAATGAAAACAATAATGCACGAGATTGAACTTGGCAAGCCACAGACGTTTTTATTTTCCTCAGTGGCTGTGCGCGTTGTTTACATACGTAAATCAAGCTTTGCTTTGAAATAAAGGTTTGCAAAAAATGATTTAAAGCATCTTGTTAATTAAAAGCATTTGTTTTTTTAACAATAAATTAACAAATAAATAAGTAAACATTTTTTTAGTCTAAAGACCCATTTCAAAAATGTTGAAAGATAAAATAAGGTTTCACCTGATAAAAGTAATAAATGTGGAGGACCTTGAACACTGTAGAAAATTTTCCAATGAGTTATTGCATTAATAAGTAAGTGCAAAAGAGATATATAGAGAATAAATATTTGTGATCAAGCAAAATTAATTCATAATACAGGTATTCGAAATATAATGCAATCATGGAGTCAATTAAGTGGCCCTAATTACACCTAAAATTTCTGGTTTAAAGCTGCTTAATGATCCATCTATTTGGGAAAACTTTCAAATATTTTTTTTATAACAGTATATGATATATTGTAAAATTTTTAGCACAATTACAAATTAAAAATAAACTTGATATTTTCTGTATAGTATCTTCAAATGTAAGCTAGTTCTCCACACTAAAACTGAAGTTTACTTTAAAAAATCCAAATAGTACTAAGAAGAAAAAAAAACATTAACATATCGAAAAAGATGCATTGATGCATTTGATCATGTGCATATACATGAAAATGGTAAAAAGTGATGAAAAAATTTTGAAGTGCTGATTTTCCCTGAAATGACTGTCATTTGTGTAAACTGTGGTATTTGTTTTATTTCAGTAAGTAATATCATTTTTATTTCCTTGCTGAGGATTATTGGACTCTCAATAATTTCAAAACCAAAATATGTTCCCTGATCTTTGGTATCTTAGAGTTTGATTTCTTCAAGGCATTTACATACTCTAGTTTGCATGGAACCTAATCAGTAAGTGAAAATAATTGGTACTCAGTACTAGTAGTACATGTATCTGAATTTTTTTTTCTAAACCAAGTTTAAGAACATGTATCAAGGAGACATTTTCTTTTTCTTTTAAATAGACTTTTGCCAGAATATATATAAAGCATGTGGATTATATTGCACATTTCACCCACTTTTTATTTCTATTTTATTAAAACCAAATCTGTGAGACTGCCAACCTATACATGCACACACAAAATTATAAAATTCACTGGTTAAATAAATGGTAACTCTACAGTTTAAAATTAAGATGAATTGTCATTTTTGTATAAGAAGGAGATCAGTGTCTTTAGAATGAGTAATTTGTGAATTGTATGGACTTGCTTGTACATCTGTTCTATAAATTACAATATAAAAGACTGGGTAATAGGAATTGTACTTCTCAAACTCAAAAGTACACACTGTATATGTTTACCTATTAATATGTAATATGTCCTCTAGTTTACAAGTTTATAAGGCCCAAGAAGCTTCTACATTCCATCCCTTCTAGATATGTAAGATATGTATACTGTAAACCAACTTTTATTCACGTGCGAGAAATTTTCGCGAGAGCCTCGTCATCGCGAATATTTCTCACTGCGAACCGGTCCTTAAGGCCTCTGGGTCTATTAATAACAGATCCAAAAAAGCTTGATCGTGAGAGTTAATTGTCGCGAAGAAGTTTACACTAGGTTAATCGCGAAATAAAGTCGTCGCGAATAAAAGTTGGTTTACAGTACCGTACAATCCCTATTAACCGCCCCGGGTGCTTAGAAAATTGCGAAAAGGGGGCGGTTATTTTGATATTCTCTTTGAAATATTTAGTTTCATATCTTAACTTCAAAAAATATTTTGAAAAAAAAATAAATTCAAAGAATCTCTAAAATAATGTCTAACTTTACTTTAAATAAAGATAATGCAACCAAATTATGCTAAATGAATCATTTTTCACTAAGAAATTGGATAATAAACAACTTTCTTTTTCAAATTTTGGCAGACTTTTGATAAGATTCTAGATAATTTTAATCACTGTACAGGGGGCCTTTATTTCCTGACAATTGAAAAAGACCTAAGGGGGCGCTTATAGGGGCAGGGGCGGTTAATAGGGATTATACGGTATTTGATGTAAGAGATAATCATACATGCCTGAATGAATACAGTAAAAAAGCTAAGATTTACAATGAGAATTTTTTTTTAATGATGGTCAAGAAAATTTTTCAAAAATGCAAATTCCTATACAATTACTAATCAACAAAGATTACATTTTGGTCTCCAAAGATATGTTTATTTTTAAATATGAAAATGTGAATAGTTATTAAGAGTACAAAGAAATCCCATAGTGAAAATAAAATATATTTCATCATTAGGAATAATATTTTATGTTGAAGTAAAAATTCAGGCACATTAAAAACAGGAAAGGAGAAAATGTGTGGTTGGACCAGGAATTGAATCCAGGAACCCTGTTTCACTAGTCAGGTGCTCTACCAAATGAGCTACCAAGGTTGATACCCATAGCACAACCATTACATATCCCTCCCTAAATTTATCTTTATCCTTGCAGACACAACCCAAAGTCTTATTAGCCCCTGACAGGACTTTCACTTGCAAATCCAGAGGGGTCAATGGCATCAAATCTGTAACAAGGAAGGAGAAAATGCACGGCTGGACCTTGAATCGAAGAAGGACCACTGGTCAGATGCTCTTCTGACTGAGCTTACTCGGCCTATATCTATGACCCATACCATTACACTTGCATATACTTAAAAGTATTTCATGATACATGTATATTGATTGATATTACAGTACATATATATCTGTCAACCATCATTAACTAAAATCAATTGAAAAAAATTAAAACTGTTATTCACCAGTGACCATTGAACAAAGTAATTTTTGAAAACATTATAAATGACTGTTAAGGGTGCTTAAATTTCTAAAATTTGAAATTCTAGTTTTCCTGCTGGCAATTATTGTTGCCAGCTAGGAATAAAACTTCTAAAATAAATGCCATATTTCTTACAGAGTGAGAAGTATTGTGGGAGGAAAGTTGTTGAATATGTTAACTTTACAAATAACATGGAGAAATGCATTTTCTTCAATAAAAGCAAAATAAAAAAAAAATTAAAGAGATTTGAGAATTATTAGAGTACTGTATATTTAGGGCTGTTAGATACCAGTCATTAGAAAATAAGACCTCAATAACTTAGTGTAAATGTTATTTTATTTATTTATTTTATTTATTTAATATATTGACTGCTTTGATTTAAAAGTGAATACTACATGTAGCAACAGCAATTAGTTCATTGCTGTGCCAATTTGCTCCAAGATTTCCCAACCTCGAAAACTGCATATTCTTTGAGGATCATACTTTCTTATATGATTGCCAATTTTTCTTAAATAATCACTGGTTTTATATTTACAGGCTAATTGAATCTTCAATTTATACTCTTTTAAGTTAAAATCTGAAGAAAAAAAACCCATTAACTTAAATCAGAATTCACTTAAACCTATATGAATATATCCCTTACTCAGATAAGTATACAATGACTTTTCACAACATAAAAGTACAGCTGTATATATAACATTGACTTAATCAATGAGTTATTGTTTAAATATTTTTCATTTACATAATATTAAATCTAAAATTGAATTTTTAAAGCAATTGGTTTATTTTTTTTCATCAAAGTGCAATGTTTTCTCTGAAAAATATAGTTAAAAAGCTAAAAAGTCATTTTAAAATATATTTTTTGAAAATTTGGTTTCCATGGCAACATAAAACATTAGATTTTTTAAAAAAAAATTTATTATAAATTAAAAAACACAACATTTGCTATATATTTGCCAAATTTCAAGCAAATTGGTTGTCAACAATTTTAGATATTTGCATTTTAGTACACCATTGTGATAATTTTGTTGATATTAAAAAACAACTCAGTCCTGAGGTTACAGCGCGCATAAAACAAGTCAGCACACAAAGGGTTAAGAAGAAAATATATGTTATCTTACGGATAGCTGTTTACCGGTGTCGTATAGTGAGACTTCCCCCATAGTGAGGCTTCCCCCGGAAGGCTGGCTATATAGTGGGCGTTCTCCCGGAAGAATGGCTATATAGTGGGACTTCCCCCACGGAAGTTTAACTATATAGCCGTTCTTCCGGGGGGAAGGCTCACTTTATAGCCAGCCTTCCCCCATTCATAGCGAGACTTCCCCCTCTTATTATAGTTTCCGGAACTTTGTTTTATTATTTTAAAAAATTCTAACAGTGTTATTTTATGACGAAATTATCTTCCATATATATACATGTATTTATATATTTATTTTATATGCATGAACAGTTTGAATATCGTTAACAAATGAATTTTTTTGTTATTTTTTAAATTCATATTCAAATATCTTATCTCAATCAAGTAATGACTAATGCATACATGCACGCTCTGTGTTTCAACGTATAAAGTGTAAAAATGCAATTGCGACAAAACAGATCTACACACTAAAATTGACAATTAGCCATCTCCGACTTTAGTGCAAAATAGTTTAGTCAAATAAGTGACAATTGCAATGCAATATAAATTTTTTTTAATTTTACATTTTTTTATACGTGTATTCAAACATCCAATCGTCCAAACCCAGTTAAATAAAATATCTTTAAATAAATAATTTTGAAAACACGACCAAAATGAAAAGATAATTGTATGAATTGATGTATGGGTGTGATGAGCAGGGGATGCACACATTTTCATGCAATTTTTCCAGTCATAAATTTAAAAAAAAAGGGGGGGGGGGGTTAAGCCCAATCCATGCATCCTGTGCCTTTGCTAAAATATGCATGACAGTCAGAATTTGATTTAAAGTGTATTAGAACTCAAATCCATCTTATTTGATTTTTGTCCCCCGCTTTCGCGAAAGCGAGGGGACATTAAATCTCATTTGTCTGTCCGTCCGTCTAGCTGTCCGTCTGTCCGTCAGTCTGTTCTTACGAGAGGTACATTGTAGGGTAAAATTAACGTATTTTCCAGCAGTGTGGGGTTTTTTGGGTACTGTGGGGTTAACCCCATAATGAAGAGGTCTAATTACGTTCAAAATTACTCTATGAGGTCGAAAAACCTAAAATTAGATTTAACCTCACAAAGACTTTGTCCAAATTTTGGACATGTCCTTAGCCCAAAACGCTCAGACATTCAGAAATCTGCTGTTTAGAGGAGTTCGGTAATTGAATCGAGGAGTTCCGAATACCTGAGCATGCGCATATATTTAAAACTAACTGCGCATGCGCAGATTACGGAAGTAGCTGTGTTTGGACACTTTGTATTAGCAGTGAGGAAATTCGGAAACACAAAAAGCAAATGCAGTAAGTCTTACTATTTTGTTGCACCACATTGAAAAAAAGCTTTGTAAATTGTTTGACATGCTTCATACGTACATTATGCAGTTGTAGAATTTATTTAAAGTCAAGGAAAGGACATCTGTAGTCCACATAAACACATACCTATTGAAAACGGGCTTTTGTGAAAAAAATTATAATGAATGCACTGATAGTTCTTTTTTTAATCAGAGGTCTGCAATGAAAATCGACCGATACCCGGGGGTCGGGCTAGTGGTTTTCTGCATGAAGGTCGCCCCGTTGGCCAGTAAAAAAAAGATAATATTATTTATACACATGCAATACGTGCAAAGCACACCTGGTACGTATTTTCACTCGTTTTTTGCTATAAAAATCCAAACCATTTAAATTTTCCATATAACATGCTCCAACTGTCAATAAATCTCCATAATTTAAACCGTATTTGAGTACTACTTGGCTTATTTACTTCAAAAAACGATCGTGTTTTTTCTTAATTCGAATTTTCTCTATATCTATGGTAAATACATGCAGATATCTCATAACATAAATACATGTGATTCTTCCGACGGGAGACAAAATCTCTGGATTTTTCACGCCTGTTCCGCCCCTCCCGATTAATTTTTAAATCTTCCGTGTTTAAATTTTTTCAAATTGAATATTTTTGGCTTTAATTTTATCCTGTTTCGTAGTATAATTGCTCTCTCTCTCTCTCTCTTTGAATTCATTCTAGATACGTACCAATTGTTTATCTACTCTTCACACATTTGTTAACATGTACTTGTAATCGTACCTTAATCTATAGAGAGAAAATCAGAATGGAAAAATGGAATTAACAATGTCACTGCAATAAATTTTCACAGCAAGTAGGCTTTGTAGGAATCAACATGGGGTTGTATAATTAGGTTGTAAAATTTAGTGGTATATCAATTTGATAAATGACAATCAATGTTTATAAATGAGTGCAGGACATTTTAATCAGTTGTTAAAATACCCATTATGTCACATTTTTTTCACATTCGCTTGTGTAATTATGTGCCCGATAATAAAATTCACCTATTAAAGAAATTAAACAAATTACCTTTAGATACGTATATAAAATTATATAACTCTGTTTGTGTTAATGGAAAAAATATAATTGTCATGTAAGATCAATTTGTACTTATTTTTCAAGATCGACGATTGAAAATTTAAAAGAATTAAATCACAATTAATAGTTTTTCCATAGCTAAACTTAAAGAAATTCAAGCTTAAAGCTACATTTTGTAATTTACAATATTAATTCATCATTACTTTGAATATTTACAGTGAGAGTATGTGACTTAGCTAATACAGGGCTATCAGTATTTTCACACCTGTTAGATTTTGATTCCGTGTAGAAGCTCTAATTGCAATTTTTTTGTATAGCATGATTATCTCGTGAATTTCACTATCAGGAGACGATCGATAGGGATTAGTTACGCTCTACTGCACTTGACACCTGTGTTGTGTAGAATGATTTTAAACTGCGTAAATACAAATCTTTGGTCAATTGAATAATTTTTTGTGTGTGTCTGCATGTTAGATAGAAATTCTGACAGCTTTATAAAAATAATATTAAAAATTTACCAGACTCTAAAAGCTTCAGCAAACTAGTTGATCGAGGATTAATTGAAGGGGGGGGGGTTACACTGCTGATCATTACCTGAACATATGATAGTGAAGTTTTTAAATGGATTTTATTGACACTTACTAAAATAAATTTTCATACTTTTAATTCACCATTAAACTGTCTTTTAATTAAAGCTTGTGTATTTTTTCTTATTAAAAAAATAGATAGTAGTAAGGCACATGTATTTCTTCTTGAATGATACTGTAATTCAATTATCATATATTTGAATGTAACAAAAGAACACTCTGAGTTCCCGAAACTAGTCAAAAATATGTCGGACAATTGTCTTGTAAATATTCAAAATTCACCGGACAGTTGTAAAATTTACCTGACATTAATTTTTTGTATGTAAATTTAACATATTATAGGATTGGAAATTGTGTCGATATAATAAATAATATGTGTAAATAAAAAGATGGCAAATGCAGATTAAAAAAAAAAAAAATTCATCGTATAAAATTATTATGTCCTTTCTGACAGATTTTTAAAATTTTTTTTTTAAATAAAATCTGCAACATGACAACTCTTGGTTGATTGTTTGGAATTAGTGGGAAATATATGTTGTTTTCCAGGCTTTTTTCTTTTGGATTTAGGATTTTGGTATTTTATGTGCCAGGAAAAATATTACGTAAAATATCAAACTCGTTTTAAAAAGCCTGGAAAACGTCCGATATTTCTGACTAGTTAAAATTTATTATATAACCTCCACACAGTTAAAAATATGTACTAATGATATAAAGATATGCAAATTTATCATGAAAATGATGATTTAAGTGAATATGTTGTCGTTTTACTACATTCAAGTCAGTCCGCTATTTTTAGAAAAGGGGAAAAACGCGCATGTATTTTAAATGCTATCAAATACATTTACAAAATCCAGAAGTTGGTATAATATTATCATGCTAATAGATTAAATTATAGAGAAAATAATAAATGGTAACAAATTGTCTGTAATCAAGCAGAAATAGCAGGCAACTCTTGCAACCCTGCAAATTCGTCCTTCAAAACGAAAGTAGATTGTCACATTTTTTTACTGTCAGAACTACAGAGTGCATATATTTATCAGAGGGAAAATATTTGTTTGACAGTGTTTTTAAAACTTTTTTTCCTCCCAGACTTATGGAAATTATTATTTTAATATGTAGCTTTTTATAGTAGACAATTTTACACATTTTATTTAAACAAGATCTGGCGCGCCCCTGACGTTTTTTTCATTCCTTTAGTTTTGCATTTGTTTATTGTCAGGACAATTGAATTAAATGATTTTGTTAAGATTATATGTAAACGTTATACAGTCTGTAAAAAAAAAACCATCAGACATTTTGACCGATAAAATTAAGATTTTACCGGTCCCATTCAAAGTTTACGGGGATCCCTAGTGGACCGGTGCGTTTCGGGAACTCTGAACACTTATGAATGTATGAAGTTTAACTGTTTTGTAGGAACAGAAACATCAGTGGCGTAGCTAGGCTGAAAATGAAGTGCATGCTCCAATTTGCAAGGGTCTGGGGGCCGCCCTGAGGCCCCGAGTGGGTCCAGGGCAAAGCCCTGGTGGGGGCCCAGGGGGCGAAGCCCCCAGAAGCTCCTGGATTCTGACGATTTAAACACTCATAAAATCATAAAAGAAAGTGAAGAAAATACATATCTTGACAACGTTTTACCATTATAAATAAACCCAAGGAGCAATTATAATTGTAGAGAGACGATTTAAAAAAAGAAAAAGACTTAATTTTTAAGTAATACAGGACATGCTATCGTAGATTGGCTAGTATAAAAATTTTCGGCGATGTTTTTTATCCGCAAAAATTACGAAAAAAAAGAATATTACATAAGGTAATAAATAAAATTAAAGTGGCTCAGAACAATCTACTTATTAATTCATCTTATAAAATAAATATTTTTGTAAATTCAACCCTAAAACTTAATTTCATTTGAGAAAATGAAATGCTCAATTTTTTACGGTAGCTGCCATAATGGTTTTCGAACTTAACAGTGTCAGTGACTTTATTTTTTTTTTAAGTAGTAAAACTACGCAAGTGTACATGTAAAGAAAATTAGAAGAAACATAACTTTTGATACTACAGTTATAATTTAATTTGTACATGACTGAGAAGGAGTCAAGTCATAGAGTCTCATTATCTTTTTTTTCAAAATGATGTGCATGCTCGAGCATACAAGCATACATGGTAGCTACGCCACTGAACATGCACAAAACCTTAAAAATTTGGAATTCTTTAATTTGATATTTTTTAAATAAGCATGGATTAATATATATATACACACATACAAAGGTTTTGTGAAATTGACATGTTTAATTAAATCAACTGTAGTGGTTATTGCTGTTTATTTATTGACCGACTGGCTACTTCTTTGGCAAACTGGAATAAGAGGCCACCTGTCTAGTTTCTGGACTTCCCAAAGCTTAAAACAAGTTTGACTGTACTTTTTCACCTTTTACCATATAAGAAAGTAGTTCACAGTACATGACAACTATGCTATAAATAAATTTCGATGAATTTTAATTAGTAACTCGGAATTTTTGTGTGTGTTATAAATAAACATTTGCTTCTGTATTCCTTTGTAGAGTTCAGATACCACTGAAAGTGAACATCAATGGAACTTTGATGATCTAGGCCACTCTATTGTTGCAGCAACACCAGCAGGCGTCGGACATTCATAAAGTTGAAAGAACAAACCTATGACTTGAACACACAATTTGTGATCTGAATATAGTTCACAAATTTAAGGAAAGCAACTATTAAAGACATCCAGATCGGTGGTTAGTACATGTTATAAGTGCCCATAAAATCAAGACAACAATATTATTTTACAATAAATTAAAACATAACCTGTAAAAAAATTCAACATTATCATTTAGAAATATATTTTACTGTTGTTTTTTTTGACAGGTATACATGAAGTATGAGTTAAAGACTTTTCAGAAGAACAAGCACAATCCCGATTCATTTTTGCCATTGCCTTCTCCAAACGGCGACATTCAGGACCTGACTTACTTTTCAGAAAAAGAAGATGAATCGATTTTTGAAAGTTAATCTAAAAAGATAACATTTACATGGGTCGTGGATTTGAATTACATTTTCTTGATGGGCAACTAGTTTCAAGTATTTGGATGTCTATTCTCAAGCTACTGCAAACCTTAAATTAACTTCTTGATTATTAGTTAAATGTGAAACCGTGTTAACTTGAAGTAATCATTTTTTGAATTGAGCTATGTAATCTCTGATTACTTATGTTTATGAGTAGTGTTCAGCTTTAAGACAAAAGGATCTTTTATGAACATTGCATTCGGCATGGCGAATTTCTATACATTAACAGTCATAGTTTTCGTCTTTTTTAATTAGCGATCTCATTTTAAATGTGAGAAATAATTATTAAACTGAAATGTACATTTATGTTGTTTGATTTTAATTTTTTGAAAATTATAAATCAATTGCATGTTGGTTTTTTTTTTCATTTTATTTTAGGGGATGGGAGTGGGGGTGCAGCTCTAAGTTTGAGTATATTTTCCAAAAGGATGTACATCGTTATTTTTGTTTTAAGATCAATTTTAAAATGCAAAATGATGAGATATTAGACTACACTTTTTTTCTTAAAACTTCATTTTAATTAATATATTTTGTTTAAAATAAGTAGCAATAACATGCAAGTTTTAGAGTTATTTGACAACTCACTATATACTTGGTTTTTTTTTTACATCTATGAAGATTGTCTCAAATTTTGAGGGTTTTTTTTCTGTGTTCTACATTTATTGACATGTTTCTTATCTGTGTTCAACTTGTCGAGTAACTGAAAAGTTTGATTAAATTTTTTTTTAAAAATCAGGATCATCTCTTTTATTTATTATTATTAATTTACAATGAAATTATGTATGCTTTTGATGCATAATGTACACTTCAAATTCATGCACCAGCAGATTCAAAGGAAAAATTATCATTAGAAATAAGCAGTAAAGATAAAGAGATTATCCAATTTAAAATAGTTTGAAAAATATTTAAAACAAATTTTCGAGTATGTTATCAAAATAGGAAAAAGTATTATGAGTATTGTTTGGTATTTTTAATAGTAAAAAAAAAGGATATGACGTACTGGCAATCGCATCATCTCACTCAGGGTCTTTCCGTCAGAGTTTGGAAAAACAACCTCGAATGTATTAACATCACCTGATGTTAAAGGTTTTGCTTTTCTTGTTTTTTTTCAAATATAGGATAGAGGAATTAAGAAGTCCCTTTTATAGTATATTTTATGTAATATCATAGCATTGAATAAAGTTAAACTCCATATTCCACAGTTAAAAGGTCTTCATGCATTTATTCATGCATTTATTTCGAAGATCATGAAAGGGGGGGGGGGGGTTGTTGCCATGGCGTCTAACTAATACATTCGAGGTCGTTTGTCAGCTAGTCAGAAAGGCTCGAGAAGTTGCGATTGAACATAGTGGGGGTACTTGTTCTTTTATTACCAGTCCCTGGTAGAGTTTTTTGATATTAGAACATACTTGGGGTTTTCAAACACTTAAATTCATATGGTTACTGGTATCTGTTACATGAGAACACAGCGGGGTTGTTTGTTTAACACTCTGAGGTTACTAAGATGTCTGATATTTTCTATCAGAACATATTGTGGTTCTTGTCTAACACTTTGTGGGGTTAATGTTATCTTTTATCTATATAAGAACATAATGGGGTTGTTACACGTTATGGGGTTAGTGTTGTCTATTATCTTTATGAGAGTACATAGTGGGGTTGTTGTCCTAACACTTTATGGGGTTAGTGTTGCCTACTATCTTTATGAGAGTACATAGTGGGGTTGCTATCCAAACACTTTATGGGGTTAATGTTGTCTGTTATCTTTATGAGAGTACATAGTGGGGTTGCTGTCCAAACACTTTATGGGGTTAGTGTTGTCTATTATCTTTATAAGAGTACTTAGTGGGGTTGTTGTCCTAACACTTTATGGGGTTAGTGTTGTCTATTATCTTTATGAGAGTACATAGTGGGGTTGCTGTCCAAACGCTTAATGGGGTTAGTGTTGTCTATTATCTTTATGAGAGTACATAGTGGGGTTGCTGTCCAAACACTTTATGGGGTTAGTGTTGTCTATTATCTTTATGAGAGTACATAGTGGGGTTGCTGTCCAAACACTTTATGGGGTTAGTGTTGTCTGTTATCTTTATGATAGTACATAGTGGGGTTGCTGTCCAAACACTTTATGGGGTTAGTGTTGTCTATTATCTTTATGAGAGTACATAGTGGGGTTGCTGTCCAAACACTTTATGGGGTTAGTGTTGTCTATTATCTTTATAACAGTACATAGTGGGGTTGCTGATCAAACACTTTATGGGGTTAGTGTTGTCTATTATCTTTATAACAGTACATAGTGGGATTGCTGACCAAACACTTTATGGGGTTAGTGTTGTCTATTATCTTTATGAGAGTACATAGTGGGGTTGCTGTCCAAACACTTTATGGGGTTAGTGTTGTCTATTATCTTTATGAGAGTACATAGTGGGGTTGCTGTCCAAACGCTTAATGGGGTTAGTGTTGTCTATTATCTTTTTAAGAGTACATACTGGGGTTGTTTGTCTTATAATTTATGGGGTTATTGTTGTCTGTTATATCTATATAGCATAGTGGGGTTGTTTGTTTAACACTTCTGGGATATTCTTGTCTATCATCTTCATGTGGAAACATGATGGGTTAATTTACTTTGATGCAACAGTTATCCTCAAATAAAAACATTTTTTTGCATTGTTACTGCTATGCAGTTGTTGAAAAATGTTATTGCTATATCTGTTCTAAGTTCTTCTGATAAACAGTAACAATTTTAAGTACTTATAATTAGTTGCCTGTGAAGTTGACTTGATATTAAATAATTAATTTTTAACCCCACAAACATAGATCTTTAACCCCACAAGCATAGATCTTTAACCCCACAAATATAGACCTTTAACCCCACAATATACCATTTGTTTGAATTCCTAATGAAACCTCTCAAGTCACCACTCTACTATTAATAACCCCACAAAGCAAAATGATAACCCCGCACCTTCCGTAAAATGCACAATGTACCTCTCAACTGTATAGCTGTCCGTCCGTCACAAAAACTTTAACCTTGCCCATAACTTTTGATTTAGTGGAGCTATGATTTTCATATTTCATATGTGTATTCCTTGTGATAAGACTTTTCTTTGGGTACCACCAAATTTGACCTTTTGACCTTGACCCTGGAGTTTGACCAACTTTTACTAAAAAATTCCAAACTTTTACTTTGGCCATAACTTTTGAATGGTAGGTACTAGGACTTTCATATTTCACATATTTATTCTTTGGGACAAGACCTTTCATTGAATACCAACAACTTTGACCTTTTGACCTTGACCTTGGAAATTTACGTACTTATGAAAAAACTATAACCCTGACCATAATTTTTGAACGGTAAGGGCTATGGCTTTTATACTTCACATATGTTATTCCTGTAAGAAGACCTTTCATTGGATAACAAGAACGTTGACCTTTTGACCTTGACCTTGAAGTTTTAACTACTTTTTAAAAATTATAACCTTGGTCACAACTTTTGAACGATAGACACAAGGACTTTTATATTTCACATATGTATTCTCTGTGGCAAGACCTTTCATTGGACACCAACAACTTTGACCTTTTGACCTTGGAGATTTACGTACTTCTGAAAAAAACTTTAACCTTGGTCATAACTTTTAAACAGTAAGGGCTAGGGCTTTCGTACTTCACGTATGTAATTCTTGTGAGAAGACCTTTCATTGCATACCAAGAACTTTGACCCTTTGACCTTGACCTTGGAGTTTTAACTACTTTTTAAAAACTTTAACCTTGGTCACAACTTCTGAACGGTAGAAACTAGGACTTTCATATTTTAAATATAAGTATTCTTTGTGGCAAGAACTTACATGGGATACCAATAACTTTGACCTTTTGACCTTGACCCTAAAAAATAATATCTCGCCCACAAAGACACCGAAAGCGGGGGACCACAATTCTTTGAATTTTATAGTGATGTAATTTCATTAATATCACGCAAATTTAATTTCAAAATGAAATACAAATCCTAAAAATACTTCAAAAAATTTATAACAGTTAAAAGGTCCCTATAGCATAAAATAAATATTTAATTATGTCAATGTATATAAAATCCAAACCGAAAACCGAAGGGGGAAGACTCACTATGGTCATTATGGGGGGAAGTCTTACTATATAGCCATATTTCCCCCCCCCCCCCCCCCCAGGGGGAAGACTCACTATATAGCCAGACTTCCGGGGGGAAGTCTCACTATGGCGGAAGTCTCACTATATGACACCGGTACTTGTGTTTTTTGTCCCCCGCTTTCGCGAAAGCGAGGGGACATTAAATCTCATTCGTCTGTCCGTCTGTCTGTCCGTCTGTCCGTCTAGCTGTCCGTCCGTCACAAAAACTTTAACCTTGCCCATAACTTTTGATTTAGTGGAGCTATGATTTTCATATTTCATATGTGTATTCCTTGTGATAAGACTTTTTTTTGGGTACCTCCAAATTTGACCTTTTGACCTTGACCTTGGAGTTTGACCAACTTTTACTAAAAAATTCCAAACTTTTACTTTGGCCATAGCTTTTGAATGGTAGGTACTAGGACTTTCATATTTCACATATTTATTCTTTGGGACAAGACCTTTCACTGGATACCAACAACTTTGACCTTTTGACCTTGACCTTTGAAATTTACGTACTTATGAAAAAACTATAACCCTGACCATAATTTTTGAACGGGAAGGGCTATGGCTTTTATGCTTCACATATGTTATTCCTGTAAGAAGACCTTTCATTGGATAACAAGAATGTTGACCTTTTGACCTTGACCTTGGAGTATTAACTACTTTTTAAAAATTATAACCTTGGTCACAACTTTTGAATGGTAGACACAAGGACTTTTATATTTCACATATGTATTCTTTGTGGCAAGACCTTTCATTGGACACCAACAACTTTGACCTTTTGACCTTGACCTTGGAGATTTACGTACTTCTGACAAAACTTTAACCTTGACCATAACTTTTAAACAGTAAGGGCTAGGGCTTTCGTACTTCACGTATGTAATTCTTGTGAGAAGACGTTTCATTGCAGACCAAGAACTTTGACCCTTTGACCTTGACCTTGGATTTTAACTACTTTTTAAAAACTTTAACCTTGGTCACAACTTCTGAACGGTAGAAACTAGGACTTTCATATTTTAAATATATGTATTCTTTGTGGCAAGACCTTTCATGGGATACCAATAACTTTGACCTTTTGACCTTGACCCTAAAAAATAATGTCTCGCCCACAAAGACACCGAAAGCGGGGGACCACAGTTCTTTGAATTTGCTTGTTCATTTCCGAGATCAAAGAGTCAAGAAGTATCCCGAACGCAAATATTGTCATTTACAAAAAACAATTGCTGATTGCTTGACCAGGTGTACCGAATCTCAATCAGAACTCGAGAAAAAAACCCAGCTTCTATCAATACCATATGCCAAGGGATTATGAGGAGAGTAGCGTATCAGAACCCTTGGCTAGCGAAGATGCTTAGGTATATACAGTGTATTTAAACTTCACAGAAAAAGTTTATTGCCATATATAATTATTGTTTAATTTCAGTGGGCTTATTATGACCCGGAAGGAATTCCATGGATATTTGGACCACTGGGACAGTTAGGCACATACCTGGGGAAAAACTACCCGACTGTTATCAAGAATATGTAAGTTTTTCTGAAATCATAATATTGTTTTGTTGCTAAAGCTTATGAGAGAGAGAGGGTGGGTAAAGAGGTACATCTCATGTATAATTATGTAAAAGGAAATGAAACTTTGAAGGCCTTTATATAAGATTGTATGTACAAGACTATAGTGTACTAATATCTTTTACATTTGTATGATCTTTCAGAATATTGAATTGTTTTCTTCAGGTTCTATGTGACATTTGCTATACATGTCGGGGAGGCAGGGTATTCTGTAAAAGTCTGCAGGTATGTGGTACCATAAGAAAGAATGTTTTATGCAGTTACATATTTTTATACCCAAGCTTGAAAATTGGGAGGGTACATAGGGGTGGGGGTGTCCATCTGTCTGGCCGTTTGTCTAGCTGTATTTCCGTCTGTTACACTTTGGGGTACCCATCTCATATCCGCAACTCATCTCCTCTTATACCACTACATGAAATCTAATGAGACTTTCACAGAATCTTTGTTACAAAGTGCCATAGTGCATCTTTTCTTTTACTTTTTGATATGCACATATTTTGGGTTTCCCATAGTAAAACATGGACACTGCTATTATTTCTATAATATTGAGGTGTACCCATCTCTTATCTGCAAATCCTCCTACCGGTATATCGCATTAAAATTTAATGATACTTTCATAGATTTTTTATTAGACAGTGCCATTGTGCACTTCCGATTTGACTTTTTGATTGGACACATATCAAACTTGAACTTTGCCATTAGGTATATATTAATATAATCATATGGGGGGGAGGGGGTATCATTTTGTTAGCACAGTGCTCATATTCCTTCTACTGTATAATTAGAAACCTGACCTGTCTAGTCCAACTCAAAATTTATCTTGCCTATCAGATATAGACAGGTTTTACTGTATCTATAGATGTGTTTCTTTTCAAATAACATTATCAAGTTGGAATACCAATTCAATATACATGTTATTGTACCATATTTTGTTCACAGTCTTTGTTGAAAAATTAATACATTTTTTAATGCATTCCTATTATAATACACACAGTTTACACTATACACATTTTCTTTTCAGAGATAAAAACCTCAGTTCTTCTGCAACTGTAAAATGGTGCTTCCAGACATTTCTATTTGGATTTGCTTCCCTTCTGCGGCTTAAAAATGCCAGAAAAGTCAAGGCCAGCTGATGAAGGTCGAATAAATTGATCACTTAAAATATAAGAACACCTCAGATCAAACGTTCAGGCTACAAATCATGACATGAAAATGTAGCCTTGTAGGATTACTAGAAACTGGTGTGATTTATTGACTGTGATCTTTTATATTTATACCATACCTCTTATGATGAATCAGGATTACTTTGTAAATGTGTTTAAATCTGCAGCACACTTTTTTATGATATGTTTTATTGCAATGGTGCATAAAAGAATATGAAAAATGATTGAAAGAAAGAGCAATAAAAATAATCTTTAATTATTTGGGAGAAATATGTATGTCTAAACATGTATGTGGTTTATATCTGTTGCTTTCCTTTATAGATTCTTATCTGGCATTAGGATGAAGATGGACTCATTTATATGAGTCTTAATTGTCTACTTGTAAATGTAACTCAATAGAACTATTGTTAATTTACAACACATCTAAAGTATTTGGAAGAATTTGATTTTAGTTGATTAAATATATATACAGGGTCGGAACTGATGTTTACAGATGAGAATTTATTGCATTCATTGATAAATTACAAGTTATTTTTATGAAAATAAATTGATAAATACTGTCAAAATGCATTATCTCTGATTCAAAGGGACTGAAAATAAAAACCAAAGAAAATATCCAATATTGAGGATTTGAGATACCAAGGTGGTTAAATACATAAATGGAATGTGGCCAGGACTTCCAGCTCACTTTGATATATCTCTGATATTTGAATACATGTACACTGTGTACTACTACCAATGATTGTGACACTTGAAGTTTGTGTTTTCTGGGCAACAAGCTCTAGTATTCTGCATGAGGTGACTTGTAGTTAACTTTTTTATGAAAAAATTAAGATCAAGTCATAGCTGGACAAGGCACATTTAACAAGACAAGTGTAACAAATAATGCACATGTAACATGGTACATGTACGTATTGATATAGCTCATGTGGTATCATTTACGTATCCCATAGTTGTGAAATCACAATGGGTTTTGCGTTAGAGTGATGAAGTAAAATGAAGTAGAGTCCTATATAAAAACAGTGTTAAACATTGATTGTGGCGTATGAAACATGGGATAAAAAGAATCTCACATAATTTGCAGTTAGATATTATTTTTATCCAACTCGTGTGTTTTAATTCCCTCACCAAGGCTCGAGATATAAAACACACAACTCGTGGGATAAAACTCGTATCCAACAACAAATCATGTGGATACTATAGATTTGCAACAAGGCCGATGTAACAAGACACAGAAAGCAGTATTTTTTACATGGTAATATGTAGTGACATTGACAAATAGTATGGAATTGATTTTCAAAAATACATGTTCCATGAAGTAGTTACTTCCCTTTACGAATGATCATAAAAATGTGAACAATGGTTGCAAAGTGCATTTGTAAAACTTACATGATATGGATTAATGTGTAAGATGGAACAGTCATTTGTAATAGAACATACAAATAGAGCATCTAGTGGTATGCAGAGTTTGAGACAGGAATTCAATTGTAATTGTTCCTGAAGGATACATCTTTGAAAACCCATGGTCTTACCGAGGTCCGAGAGGTGAGACCGGCTGTGGGTTTCTGGCAGAGAACAGATAGTGGAGAGGTGTATATAATTATACATCTTCTTTTCCCCAACTTTGGCTAATTTTATTTTAATTGATAAAATATACTGTATGATAAGACTAAAGTATTAAATATAACAGTAAAACTAGGTTATAGCGAAGTCAATGGGACCTACTAGTATGAAATTACTTCGCTATTACCGTAATTGGTTATATCCGTATCAGAAATTCATTAAATTCATTAAACATAGCTGGGGACCCTAAAGAACTTCGTTATATCTGTGAATTCGCAATATCTGTGTTCGTACTAAAAGCTTTACTTTAATATGCTCTTCTCAAAACTGTTTTGTCAGGTCTTTTGGTTTATGTGCTAATTAATATTAATATTAATAAGGAAAACAATTCTCCCTAATTAACTACCACAGTATTTTTTATTTAATCTTAAATTTTAAATTTAAATGACAACAACAACTAGTAAGATCTTATTTCTTTAATATGCCCCAGTTGACGGTATTTGACAACCTCAGTCATATATGTTCTGATATGTACATGTATGCAGGGGTATACTTTAATCGAGATGGATTACTAATAATGATGACTGTATTAATATTTGCATTTTTTTCTTGTGGACTTTAGTGCTGTCAAACTCATAACTTTCTAACATTTTTTAATAGTGCTGTCATAGGCATAAAATGATAAATGTACATCTTCTTAGCGTTTCTTCTTGTGGACTTTTTTCTTGTGTTTGTAAAGAGCACTGGAGTCACAGTACCGATTTCCGCACAACTCACAAGTAAACTTCCTCTCTCCAGTGTGAGACGTGAGATGTCTCAGTAAATGTGACTGACAGGTCCACGACTTCCCGCACAAGTCACAATCCCAAGATTTCTTCCCAACACCTGACTTCCCCATGGATAATTTCCCATTCTTGTGAACATTCTTCAAATGTTTGGTCATACTGTAGTGTCGACTGAATTTCTTGTCGCAGATCTTGCAGCTGTAAGGTTGATCACCCGTATGAACTTTCTGATGCTGCGATAACTGTGACGGAGATTTAAAAACTTTATCGCAAAGGTCACAGCTGTGAGGTTTTTCACCTGAATGAATTCTGGAATGTGTGGTGAGTTTGTATCGTCTTGCAAAAGACTTTCCACAAATGTCACATTTGTGAGGTTTTTCCTCGGAATGTGTGATCATATGTCTCTTCATGCTACAGTACTGAATAAAACCTCGCCCACAAACTGGACAAACATGATCCCTTTCCCCTACATGTATCCTCATATGTGTTTCTAATACTTGTTTGAGGGAGAAACTTTTCTGGCAGACACCACAAGTGTATGGCTTGACTTTGGTGTGGACTGTCAGGTGCTTTGTTAATGCGTGGGACTGTCGGAATCCCTGCTCACAGTAATCACATTTATATGGTAGCTCACCTGTATGAATCAGCATGTGACTTGATAAATGGGATTTCTGCTTGAAAGCTTTGTTACATACTTCACATATATAAGGTCTTTCACATTTTTTTTCACTTTGTTCACATATCTTTATTGTAATGGTACATGTAGCTTTATTTGTATTCTCATCACAAGGTTCTTCTTTAGCATCGATTTCATAATCCACCACAATAATTCCCTGATCCACCACATTTATTTCATCATCCTTAAGTTGGATGTCGTTAGGCCTAATTGAATGCCTCTCCTTTCCAGTACCTCCATCACTATACCTGTCAGTCACTTCTTCATGTTCCTTCTGCTCTCTGATTTTGTCTTCTCTATTTGTCTCTGTACTAAAATTCTTTTCCACATCATCATCCATAAGTCTGAAATATATAAAATATGATTAATTCACCGTTTGGCGGGCTGTGTCCAACCTGTACTGTGTTCATCAAAGCACAGGGGCTTGCTCTGTGATCAAAGTGACCTTTCGTGTTTCACTAGAAATGTGAAAGCTTAGTGAGAGACAACTTTGTCAGAGTAAACTTATAATATATATCTCTTCTTAAATGATCCTTTAAAAATATATTTATGCTTAGGCGTGTACATAGCCTATTTACCGGCTAGTCAATACAAAAACTAAATCCAGGCAAATGAAAATCCTTGTAAAATTATTATCGGATTTGGAGGTTGGACGGGAAAAGATAAAGCTAGTGTGATATGGAATGATTTTTTCCGGAATTCTGGACGGTGTAAAAGTAGGCCTAGCCTTCATCGGTAAAAAGCAAATTCCATACAAAAAATACAAAATTGCATTGTTCAATAAATATATGCCCACTGACTAATATTAATTGCATTCCATATACAAAAAAAAAAAAAAAAAAAAAAAAAAATTATGCAAAACAAGACATTTATTCTAACTACAGCTGAACTCTACTTGTGGAATCACCCCGGGATGAACAGATTTGTAAAAGGAAAATATACGTGTAGGATATTGAAAAACGATATTATATGTAGCGAGAGAGAAAAAAATGATAAATATAAAGATAAGAACATATATTAAGGGGCGACCATTTGATTTTAAGAGGGAACTCAAGGATCGGCGTGTTTTTTTTATGTCAGAGGAGCCATAAGTGTTTAATTGTCATGCAAGTCTTCCGTCTTTCCTCCTGTCCTTCCGTCACACTTTTAGCCAGAAACCATTCAAAATTATTGCTATCAAACTTCACTTGCTTATACTTATTGATGAGACTTTTTAAAAGGAAATATAATCTTTTTTTTTACCCCTACCCTTTCCTAATTTGAGCTTTGAGAAACTATTAGATTGATTGATTGATTGATTGTATATTGTTTAACGTCCCTCTTCAGAATATTTCACCGATATGGAGACGTCACCATTGCCGGTGAAGGGCTGCAAATTTAACCCTATGCTCGGCACTTACGGCCTTTCAGCAGGGAGGGATCTTTATCGTGACACACCCGCTGTAACACGGGGCCTCGGTTTACACGGTCTCATCCGAAGGACCGCCCCATTTAGTCGCCTTTTACGACAAGCAAGGGGGTACTGAGGACCTATTCTAACCCGGATCCTCACGGGGCAACTATTGTAGAAAATACAAACTTGTATTTTAATAATACAGCATCAACATATACGTATAAACTTAAATTTGTATAACGCTCAATTTCAAAGAATTTTCCCATATTTACTGCCCCCCTCTGTCACAAAAGCGAGGAGACATTAAATCTCATTCGTAAACTATGATTTTTGACCCCATGACCTTGAAGTTTGACCTACTTTCAAAAAATTTAAATATTACTTTGAACTGGAGATAATATTTGAATGAGAGTAGATTGGGCTTCCATTTTAAATATGTGTATTACATGTACCTGTGACAAGACCTTTCTAAATACACTATGATTTTTGACCTCTTGACCTTCATATTTGACCTATTTTTCAAACTCTTTAATCTTGGTCATGAATTTTGAATGAGAAGAGATAGGGATTTCATATTAGACCTGTGTATTGCCTGTGGCATAACCTTTCTAAATACACTACCCAAGACCTGTGTTTTGCCTGTGACACGACCTTTCTAAATACACTATGATTTTTGACCCCGTGACCTTGACCTTGAAGTTTGATCTACTGTTAGAGAAATTAAAAATTATTTAAAATTTGGAATTTAACTTTTGAATGAGTTGATAGCGGGTTTCATATTAAACACGTACGAGGGGTGATCAAAAAGTTCGCAAACTATCTTTATATCTACAAAACCACAATTCAGATGAGAATGAAACTCGGTACACACATAGCCATACACAAGGTCTATAAATAGCATATGCTGAATAAAGTTTCTCTCCTTGTTTGTGACGTCACAATGTGAAAATGACGTCACTATTTAGGTCACTTGTGACAAAAAATGGTTGTCTCAGTCGAACTCGTTGAGTCGTTCAACAAACGACTGTACAATTTATTGTAATATCTTAGAAATCCCTCTACAGTATCATATAATAATTTGTATACAGCTGCAGTTTATTGAGATAAATGAGTTCCTATAAATTCAATTAATTGGATTAATCGTGTTAGTGAAGGGAGGCTGATGGTTAAAAATGATACTTGTCATCTTGCCCAGTGAAAGCAAGTTTGAAAAGATAGGTCTGTCCTGAGACAGAAGACTTGTGTTTTAATGTTCGCCATGCCTATTTTTGGAAAAGATGTTATTATCCACCCATTATGACCATTTCTGACAAATTAACTGTTTTTGTCATAAAAATTAACTCACATGGAAAGAAATATAAAACTCGGAAATATCTTTTAACTTTTGTGACGGAACGCTACGGAGGTGGTCACGTGACCGCCAATATCACGTGATTCGTGCATGCGCAGAACGGTGGTTGATGTGCATTAAAATCGGGGATAAATTTCAAATATAATCAACATTAAAACCAAATATTGTTTCGTGTATGGAAGTTATTCAATTAGTTTGCGAACTTTTTGATCACCCCCTCGTATATTATCTGTGACAGGACCTTTCTAAATACACTATGATATTTGACCTCATGACCTTGAAGTTTGAACTACTTTTCAAAAACTTTAACCTTGGTCATTACTTTTGGATGAGAGGACATAGGGCTTTCATATTAAACCTGTGTATTGCTTGTGGTTTTTGAGCTCATGACCTTGACCTTGAAGCTTTACCTATTTTTCAAAAATGTTAATTTTCCCTGATAACTTTTGAAGAAGAGATAGGTCTTTCTTATTATAATCCCCGCTTGAAAAGTGGGAGGGTATATAGTAATCGGTATTTCCGTCCGTCCGTCTGTCTGTCCGTCCGTCCGTCTGTTACGCTTTGGGGTACCCATCTCTTATCCGCAACTCCTCTCATACCACTGAAGGAAATTTAATGAAACTTTCACAGAATCTTCATTACATATTGCCATTGTGCACCTCCTATTTTACTTTTTGATCTGACATATATTTTGGATTTTCCAGAGCAAAACATGGACACTGCCATTATATTCAAATGGGAGGCGGGGGGTATCATTTAGTGAGCTCATTGCTCACAGTACCTCTAGTTTGATATACTAGTATGTATTTCCTGTCACAAGATATTTACGAGCATGCTATGACTTCTGACTCCTTGACCTTGACGACTGACCTAATTTTCAAGATAATCAACTTTCAAATTGGTGATAACTTCTGAATGACATATGATAAGGCGTTCATATTTGAAACAATATGCCATAAGAAACTACAGGTACTGTGAGCAATGAGCTCACTAAATGATACCCCCGCCTCCCACATGAATATAATATAATGGCAGTGCCCATGTTTTGCTATGGGATACCCAAAATATGTGTCGGATCAAAAAGTAAAATAGGAGGTGCACAATGACAATATGGAATAAAGATTCTGTGAAAGTTTCATCAAATTTCATTCAGTGATATGAGAGGATTTGCGGATAAGAGATGGACGTACAGCTAGACGGACGGACATAACGATTACTATATACCCTCGATCCTGCTTTTCAAGCGGGGGGTATAACATCTCACCCACAAAGACACCAAAAGCGGGGAACCATAATTTTGTGAATTTTCTTCTTTTTTTTAATTTGAGCTCAAGATGATTGATAGTTCTTTTTTAAAACTGATGATTTCCATGCCACAGCAGGACCGATTATTTGTTTAAGGTAGTCCGATCCTCAGATTTATAAAGTTAGCAGTTATGTAATCAAAGGTACTCATAAAAGTATCTCTGAATCCACATAGTTATGTAAATTAATCCACAGTATTTATCTCCAAAATTTTTGCAGAAAAAGCGAACTGGAATATCAGCCATGCATTTTCTAATTGCAAATTGATCAAGAAAATATATTTTAGGTTAAAAAACGATAGGTATCCAGGCATTCAGAGAAATTGCTATGATTTTCATACTTATTTGGTATTTTTTTGTCTTCTATTTTCGTCATATATTCCATAACACATAGTGTAAAGGCTTAAATTGCAATCATTGCAAGCCACCATAAATCACTTTTTATATCATATCATGCTAATAAGCATTATTATATAAGGTTGGATTCAAGAAAATCTTACTTCTCTAAAACTGTATTATTAATTTTTTAGGGTATAAATGTCAACTTTTATAAGACCTTTTCTAAGACTTCCAAAAACATTGAATCTTATAAAGATGAATAAAATGAAAATTGTTGCATGAAAAAACCTCATTTTTAAGCTTCATTTTGATGCATTTCAAATAAAATATTAATTTTTGGAGTTATCCTTCCTGGCTGAGGATCGGATATCCTTAAAAGACTTACGATTATTAATGTCAGATTATTTAATTTCTTCATTTTAGAATTTCTTCCTATGGTTCAGTGAACTAAATATTTGCATTTGCAGCCAAGGACCTTCTTTAAGAGGTACATGTATAGGTATCTCTGAATTGCTCTTATATGCTATTGATTATTGGCAATTTAGTTTTACTCAGGTCCTCCTTGGACGGAATAAAAGAATTAAGGAGCGTGGAAGAGAGAGAGAGAGGGGGCGGGGGGTGAAGCGTTGCCATAATGTCACAATAAGATGAAACAGCAATGCAACAAATAAATTCAATGTCAGGCATGGGATTATAATTTATTTCCTTTTCTTAAAATTATGTAACGACAAGTGCCTGTGGACTGAGCTCATTTTATTTTCACCTAACCTCAACGCCACATATGCTGAATCAGTCTATTTCAAATTTGAAGAATTTTAGAAATTATTTTGGAAATAAAACAGAATTTAGATTGAGTTTGATTTCAAATATTATCAAAACACCAGTGCAACTTTTAAACAAGAGATGTTTTTGTAAAACGCTTATGCCCCCTCCCCAAAATATTTGGAAATTTTCTAAGTCCAAGGGGCATAACTCTGTACCAAATTGTTCGATTGTACCCAAAACAAAAATTGTCCTAGATATTCTTATGATAAGCAAGGCGATATACCCTCCCTTCTTCAAAGGGGGACATAAAAATGTTTCCTAGATAAAAACACAGACTTTCAAAATATATTTTGATTTAAAATTCTGACTTTAAGTTATTGAATTTCTTTTATTAGTTTATGGTTCTCCAGCCAGGTACAAGGTCCAAGGAGTAAGTGCTTCCTGTCAATCAGTCACACCCATATTCTTACTTATGATCATACAAACAAAGAATTAAGTATGGTCTAACAATTTGTATAAAGAGCGATAATCAACATTGCAAACGTCATTGTATGGACCATAGAGTTTATGAAGCCTATAAGTACTGATTTATTACAATATGATTGATATCCTTGTGTAATCAACTTTATTGACAATAGGCTGTCTAATTTTTAAAATTGGTCATAACTAACACATGTACTTGCAAATCAAATCATCTGAGAGACAAACCTCATTCAGGTGGTAATATTAATATATTCAGTATTCATAATATTGCAACAAGATACGGAGAGCTAAAGACTATAGAAAAGTCAAATGCTTTCTTCATTAGCTAGTGGGGAATAAACATAGCTGTTGTAGAAAAAAAAACAACACCTACATAAGAATTCAAACACTAATAATGATAGTTTTAAGTGTAATTTATTGTTTAAAAAAAGATTCATTTCATTTTATAAAGTATTCACAAGTTAACATGTTGTGTATTTCTTATGTACAATTCTCTAGATATATAAGCACCAGGAAAAATAAATATTCCAGATACATTTATGTTTTACAAAAATTCCTTGTGTCGAAGTTTTACATGTATAAAGACAACCTCCTATACATGTAATTAAACATGATCTTGATTTTCTAACACATTATTTCTTCCATAAGTTCAAAACAAAAAAGGTTATATTGCATTCTGAAATAAAATATACTTTTTTCATCAATAATGGAAAATGGGTACATATATCATGCACCTTTCTTCAAGTACATTAAATGCATAAAGAATAGTCAATATTTCTTCAGTGAAGTGTTTAGAACATAAATTACCATTGAACACAGACTTCAAGAAACAAAAAGCATCAGAAAGTTAGCTTTTTATCTACATGTAGCATTGATATAAATCATAGATGAATTGAACAAGCTTGCAAATATTTAACATTTAATTAGCACATTTTTTTTTATTTTGGTAAATTAACTTTTCCCCTTTTAAGCAAAGGTGAAATAAATATGTGCAAATTAAGAGATCATTTTATAATCTCTCATTTTCAATCACCAAAATATTTGTTGCTAGGCAACTAAAACTGATAATTTTTTCCCCTTTAGAAATATATAGAATTAGAATATTAATTAAAAATTTTCTTCCACAAAATCACAGAGTAGAAAATAAATCTCTTGTAAAAATAAGGTTAAATAAAAATTCCTCTCTCAACAACCTTAAACTAAAATAAAATTGTAAACAAAAAAGCTAAATGTATAACAAAAACTTCACATTCCTACAAAAAAAAAAGGATGCAAAAGCCAAGTCCTTATTGAAATACTGCTTAAAAAAAATTTTGTAAAGGCTACAAATCTATTTTATTTTCTAAGTTTTTACAGGAATTTAATGGGCTAATAGCAAATTAATTTTGTTATCAGAAATTAAAAACAAAACAAAATTGAAGCATGTAAAGTTTTTTGTGTATTTGAATAAAATGCTCCCTAACCTGATTATAAATGGTAATTAATAATTAACTGTTTCCTTAATTAGGCGACAAAATTTCATATAGAGTTCATGTGTCTTAGGTATATAGTCACAGTAGACAGCTTAGAACAGTCTATTACAAAACAGAGACTATACAATAAAAATTTTATAGTTAGAACTTTCTAAATTAAAAGAAAACACTACCATAGTGCAGGCCTAGGGGCCATTAAACCTAAACAAGCTCACTTTGAGCTTAGTCTCACTTTTCCAGTTATTTCCTTTGGGAAAAGTTAGACCCAGATCAAAAGTGAGCTCGTCTAAGTTTTACTGCCCCTAGGCCAGATTTTGCAGCTTCGTAGAAATTATAAAAGGAGTAACTCTGTCAATAATACCTTAAATATGTTTATATAAAAAAAAAATAATATAACTTCCTAACGAATACCTAAGTATGATAAAATAATTATTACAATAAACACATTATTTCTACTTTTACATCGATACATTGTTATAGTCATTTGTATAGCCTGGAATGGGTACACAACACAGACATATCTAATGCTGCCATTAATTGTTTTCTTATTCCTTTCTGTGTAATTTTTTTTTCCTCCTTTAATTGCATAATACAGAGTTATCGTAAATAAAATACACTGGTTACACACGTTATTGTGGGTGACGGTTAATGAGTATGAAATTAAAAGTAGCAGCATATGAATAACATTGTACATTAGATCTGGCTCGGGCCCTTTATGGAAGTGTGTTTACATGGATGCATGTTGTCAATTTTGATTCCTAATGTCTGTAATTTGTTATTACATCAAATATAAACACGATTTATATTGTATTGTATTGCATAGATTCTAATACAGCTGCTGGCAGGGGGAATAAAATGCAAAAAGAAAAATTCAAAACCTATTCATGTAAAACAAGATGCAACAAAACATAAAACTAAAAGTGCGAATAGCTTGACTAGGCAAATGATCTCTGTGTAAATTTGATGGAATCCTTGTTCACATTAGTTTGATACGATATGGTGCAATTCCACAGTACATGTACCAATAAATGTAACATTGTATGTTGAGCCTTTTTTTTGGTAGTTTCATTCAATGAATTATTTTTCACTGCAAAATACACTTCTGCTGTGTTCTGATAAACCCATTTCAATACCGTAATTCAATAATAATAAAAAAAGCTTTGTGCTGAAAACTGATTGGTTAATTTCTGTCCAATAGAAGAACTGCTAAGAGCTGATTGGCTGATTGCTGTCCAATCGACTAAAGAGGCGAATTCTCCTGGCACTGTTTGTTGCACTGTTGATCACTTCCATCCACCTGAAATAAAATACTACTACATAAAATATTGACAATACAGGGATTAAAAAAAATCCTTACTGATGTCTCTTCTACAAGACTAAAATGTCATATTGACAATTTTTTTTAATTCTCACTGTACCATAAAAAAATGTAGGATACTAAATGTTAAAAATGCTGAAAATTCAAACAAGTAAAAAATCAAAAGCCACACACTTTGCATGACTACTTGTTCCCATTATGCAAGGTTACACATGCATAAACTTAGCATTTAATAACGTTAGAAATATAAGCCACACCTTTCAAATGTGTATTCAGATTCTGCTCTGAAGAAGTAGACATGATTTTTGAACTGAAGCTTGAACACATGGTCTTTGTGAATGCCATCTTCCTCCTCTGGCGTGTTTACAGCATAACCAAGCAACGGCAGACTGGCTAAGGGGAAGTCATCCTGTGAAAAGAAAGGCATCTTAATAAAGGCATGTACCAGTGTATAATACTTAAATCTTATCAAGCCACAACTTGAAAAACATAAATATACTAGTATATTTTTATATCTGTAAATCTCAAAACAAGCAATTTCTTCAATTCACTGCTTATTACTTTACACAAAAATATTAATTTCAATGGAGGACATTATCTTGAAGCTGTCAAATTCATCAAAGTTGGACTTGGAAATCTGCTTGAATACTGCTTAAGACAGAAACACATTTGAATCAAGCCTACATTTGAAAAACCC